CCTAGAAAGCATCATGCACTTATAAAGAAATATTTTAGCACTTATAAAGAAAAATTCTTCTGAGACACTAAATGCAGTTTATAGCCTATTATGTCAGACCAGTGCTTTGACTTGGCAGGCAAAGTGGCAGCTCTGATTTTACTGTTTTTCTTTCTTTTGCAGGTTTGTATGCAGCTTGGTTTACTATGGTCTTACTCTTAATGTGGGTGACCTAGGTGGAAATATTTATGCCAATTTAGCCCTTTCAGGGTTGATAGAAATCCCAGCGTACCCAATCTGTATTTACCTGATCAATCAAAAATGGTAAGTATGAAGTGTATTTCAACTTGTTCGGTTTTTTGTTTTGTTACAGTTTTTTCTCAAAGATAGATTTCCTGCATATTGCATCTCCTAGCTTCTATCTGTTGTGGGGGCTTCCTGCTTCTAGTTTGAAAGTGCCACTGACATATCTTTACTTCAGGTAACAGTTTAACTTGTTCTCAGTAGCTTGCTTCGTTAAGGAGCGACCTCAGTTTGGCTCCGAGATGAGGCTGATGCCCTCCCTCAGTCGAGCCTGGCTGTGCTGACTCCACGCTAGCACACGATGGCAGTCTTCCCACCTCTGTCTCGCAATCCCAGTTCTCGCTGTTCTGTCACAACTCAACTGAAACTACCCTGTGCTTCCGTGTAATAGTTGCTGTGTGCACTAGTGTGTAAGCCGAGCTGTTCATTCGGCTGTTTAGCCTTTTCCTGAGCCATGATGCTCTGGACAGCGTCTTCCCCTTTTTGTAGAATTCATCTCCCAGTCTCTTCTCGGCATGTCTACTGAGGAGCTTTACAAATATGCCCACATGGTGGGAAAGCAAATCAAAATCCTAGAAATTGTCAGCCACTGCACAAAGACTTCTTGCTGCTCGTTTTGTTAAGAGCGCAGTAGAAGCTTGTTTAAAAACAGTGCGAGAGGAAGTGTTTGTGGGAGATGGCATTCAGAAATTCCAACTGCAAATTGAGAGACAACATGACATGAATTTAGAGGACTCGTTGCTCTGCAAACTACAGATCTAATGCAGAATAAAGCTTTGTTATCGTTGCACATCAGGTTTGGTCGGAAGCGAACACTGAGTGCATTTCTCTTCCTGGGAGGATTGGCTTGTCTTATTGTCATGTTTCTTCCTAAAAAGAAAGGTAAATATTTCTTTTTGTTTCTGGAGTATGTGATAAGAATTGTTAAACACAACATCTTACAGCCTGAGAATTTATTGGTTGCCAGTAGATTAAGCTCATACCACATGTGAGTCTCAATTTTTGAAGCCGGAAAAGGTAACTTGCAAAAAGGATAAGCAGCAGCCTTCTTAAGGCCTTGAGAGAAGCTTGTTAGAAATGTCTGGATTTGAACTTTTGTTGTTGGATTCTGCCCTTTACTTGTGACAACATCACTCCTTTCCAGTGTTTCTAACTTCATCCCAAGGAATGATGTTTTTTGGCATACCTCCATTAGCCAAATTATATGCCAGTGTAAGTAGTACCCCTGCAGTTTGTGTGTATCTCCAAGTGAAAGACCAATTGCAAAAGGTCCAAAGAATTGGGTCCTGGGGCAAGTTTCCATCTTTTCCTCACTGCTCTGTAATGCTCAAAACTGATGTGGTTGTGATATTAGTAATGTGGCCACATAACTTATAGTTCAGAGAGCATTCTGAACTTTTTTTGTAAAGACACACTAACATTAATTTCTTTATTTTTGGAAATTTTCCAAAATTATAGGAACAAAACTGCGCAGTAAGCAATTTTTCCTTTTAAAACTAGCTACATAAGTTCATCTCGTCTTGCAAGATTTGTGCATGCGTAACACCTGTCGTAAGGCAGGAAAACGCTTCAGACATTTGAAGCGTGATTCAGAAAGACTGAACTTGATAAGAGAGTGCATAAGTTGCTCTAGATGGCAATAAATCCAATAGGTAAAACTTTTTTTGAAGGAGTGCAACTCAAGTTTCCACAAGTATTCCAAATGCTGGAGCCTGGACTCTCAGAAGTATTCTGATTAGACTGGTAGCGGTCATGAAGTAGTTTTTACCAATCGGTCCAAGTATAACATGTGAAAAGAGATTTTCAGAGGATAGAACTGCAAAACACTTGGAAGTCAGCTGTGTGCTGAATGGCCAAAGTCAGACAGGAGCAAAGCGCCTTAGGAAGCAAAATGCCTAACTAGCCAGAAGCAAGCACCCATCTTGCCCAAACTCACCCAAATGGATGTGGGAACACAGACAGAGCTCCCACAGAAACATACAGCTGTCCAGGTCATGGGCTGCAGAGAGTGCCAGGGCCTGTTGCTGGCAGCAGGTAGCGGCTCTGAGAACGGCTGTGTGCCAGTGCGAAGAGGTGGATGACCTGCTCAGTATGGTGGCAGAGCTGAGAGAAGTTGAGCAGCTTAGGGAGCGTCAGGGAAGCGGAACAAGAGACAGATTGGTGGAGTCAGACTCTGCCTTCTTTGAAG